CTGGTATTTCTGGCCACTGTGTGACACAGAGTGATGGACTGGATGGGTCTTGGCCTGATCCAACATTGGCGTCTCTTATGTTCTTATGTGTAGCAACCCTAGACTCTCTCGGTGGTCTCCCATCCAAGAATTAACAATGGACAAGCCTGCTGAAGCTTCTGTTATTTGGCACGATCAGGCTAGCTTACTATTTACTTTTACATGAACAGTGGAATACCCTTTCAGAGAAAGGTAGCTGGTGGAATGAGGATGCTGATCAGGAATGGAAGTTAATGAGCAACAGGGGAGGAAACACTTTAAGATGCTGAGGCCCCTTGTATTATAACTTTCCCCACTCCTGGCTGCTGTGGACTTGTATGGTGACGGCTATGCATATATGAAAACGAACCTGCCTTATACTGAATCTGACCCTCGGTCCATCAAGGTTGGTATTGTCTACTCAGACTGGTACCAGCTCTCCAGGGCCTCAGGCTGAGTGAGGTCTTTCCTATCACCTACTGCCTGGTCCTTTTAACTGGAGATGCTGGTGATCAAACTTGGGACCTTCTGCATGCCAAACAAATGCTCTCCCACTGAGCCATGGCCCCACATATTTACTTCTAGATTACTCTTATTCGCCAGATTATGACTGCCTTTTACTGCTGATGGAGCACTGGAATCAAGGTCGGTATTGTCTACTCAGACTGGCAGCAGCTCTCCAAGGCCTCAGGCTGAGGTCTTTCCTATTACCTACTGCCTGGTCCTTTTAACTGGAGATGCTGGTGATCAAACTTGGGACCTTCTGTATGCCAAGCAAATGCTCTCCCACTGAGCCATGGCCCCACATATTTACTTCTAGATTACTCTTATTCGCCAGATTATGACTGCCTTTTACTGCTGATGGGCCACTGGAATACATACAGCAAAAGTCCAACAGCCCTTAAAGACTAAAAATTTATTTCTATATGAGCTTTCTTGAATCACAGATGACTTCTTCAGTGGCTGACAAAAGTTTCAACCACCCTCTAGGATCTCTCAGGCACGCCCTCCCCAAATCCACAGCGTGAGTGGCATCCTAAACTCTCTGGCTTTGAAGAGAGCAGGTAAATGCAGAGAGGATAGGTTTGTAATACCCCAGCCTAAAGCTATTGAAATCAATGGGCTTATATATATATATTTTTTATATAAAGTTGTTGAGCAAGTAGAAACAGATACTAGTAAAATTACACACTCCCAAGAGCCCCTGAATTTCAAGGAAGTTCATAAAATCCTGCAACAGTCACAGCATTGTTCTAGGAGCAATCACGTCATGTCCCAATTAGGGTGTATCAGGCGTCCACCAATTTACACCCTCAACGTGAGACTGGGTACCCCCCCGCTTCCTCGAGTGAGAACGCTGGTTAGTCTCTCTCATCCTTCTTCTTGGATAGCTGAGTTTTTGGACAGGTAAATGCAGACCCTCTCTGTCTCTATAAGCTACCACCTTTATTTTCTGAACTTATATGATGTGCATTTATAGAGTGCTCTGCAATTAATAAGTTTTGATTTTATTCTTTAGATCTTCTTAATAAAAACCGTTTCATTAATCACAACCTGGTTCATGTTGAGAGTTCTACTGAAGGAAAAATCCCCGTATGGGCCACCATAGGTGGAGATCCTGCTTGATTACCCCCTCTTGCATTGTTTGGGTTTCCTGGCTAATTCCCCAACAAACTTCAGGAGACCCTCACAACCCCTTAGGGCAGGGGTGTCACATATGGCCCAGGGGCTGGATTAGGCCCCCAGAGGGCTTATATCAGGCCCGCAGTGAAACTGGCTGTCTTCTGCTTCTTCTTCCAGTTCTGCTGCTGCTGCGTCATGGTAGGTTTGCAGCTTACAGATACACACCTGAACAGCATACTCAAGATTGCAACAGCACAGACATTTTGATGTAATAATTCAGAGCAAGAGGTGTCAGTTATCAGACACTGAAAATTTCGAAAGAGTGCTAAAGTTTAAGCATGTTTTTATTTTAAGTTAAAAAAAACCCTTTGTGTTTGTGTCCTTTATAAAGTTTATATCTCTGCTACCTGGCATTACATTTCATGACACACATGGCCTGGCCCAACAAGGTCTCATTTATGTCAGATCCGGCCCTCATAACAAATGAGTTCGACACCCCTGCCTTAGGGTAACACACCATTGCCAAAATTTGGAGGACCCAGCTCTTGCCATCGTTCAAGCAAAGTGGACAAAATAGTTTTAGCCAGGGCGTCTCATAAGCAGGATATTGATAAGGATGCTTATATCTGGGGTCAACCTACTAGTTTGGTGCCTAAAGGCCCTGTTCACACTAGGGGTTTTGGGCCGGGAGCGGGACGGATCGGGGGCGAGGCAAACGGGTGCGATCCCACGGCAACATCTGGGAAGCGTTGCCTGCCCGTCCCCGATCCGTCCCTCCCGAAAACCCACACTAAAAGCGGTGTAGAGCGCTTCAATCCGGGCCGTGAGATTGCCGGCGCGTCCTTGCGCCGGCACATCCCGGCCGAACTGCGCATGCTCGAGCATGCGCAGTTCGGCAGCCTCCCCCTCCCCCCCGGCATCTGATCGTGCCAGGGAGCAACGGCGCGCTGTGCACGGGATCCGTGGGATCCCACCTGCGCGTCTCTATTTTGGTGCGGCTCTATTTA